CAATGTTTACCGACTAGCAGAATGGTCAGCCCCCATTCCTCGACTCCCGATGTTTGGTCAGCCCACACTCCATCGGGCACGAAGTAGCCCCTGGGATATCGGGGGATCGAAGGGGGGGAATGGCTCTGCGGGGGGAACCTGGAGTTCACTGGAGGTTCAACTTGCCCGAGGAGCAGCTTCGAACAGAAGCCCTCCTCCCTTCTCTTCTTTTCTCATATATACATATATATATATATGAACAAACACTTTTCTCCCCTTTTTCTCCCTTTTTCTCCTCCCTCTCTCTAATATATATATCTTTTCTCCCTTTCCTCCCTTCTCTCTTCTCCTCTCTTCCCCCCTTCTCTTCTTCCTCTCTTCCCCTCTTCCCTCCCTTTCGGCCTTGATCACCGGCTCCGCGGTGAGAAAATTTTTTCAGGTTTTTTTGCTTTTTCCGGTGGCGTTCTTCCCCCGTCGTTGTCTGCACGTACGAGGAGTCGTCAGGGTCAATCAGGCAGGGGAAATCGTCGAGGGCGGGCGCCGGGCCGGAGCTAACGCGGCGTTAGATCACGTGATTATTGGGGGGGGTTTGCCGGCGCCGAAGATCGATCGAATGATGGATGGATGGCTGGAGATCCTGAGCAGATTTAGCTGAAGAGGTGCGGGCCGGCCGGCACGGAGATGGTTTCCGCGTCAAGGTGGAGCGTTCACGTGACTTTCCTGGGAGCCCTGGGAGCCCGGGGTGTTTGGGGAGGGGGGGGATTTTGTTTCGGGAGATGGTGCCGGGGCGGCCGGCCGGGCAGTTCCCCGCGACTCTGCCCGGGGCGCGCGGGCTGGCGGTCGGTCGGTCCAAGACCTGGGATGGGAGCCTTGAACCGAACCCGGTGAGAGGGATGGGACGGGACGCCTTTTCCTCACTCTGCTGTGGATGTCAGGACAAGCTGCCCGTGGATCTCGCCAATGTGGATTGCGCACCGCATGTGCATGCCTACCCACCCACCCACAGCGCATCGCACATATACCCGCCCGTGCGCACATGGCATATATGTGTGCGTGTGTGTGCGCGCGCGTGTGCGCGCGCGTGTATGTGTATATATAGACGCACGCCTGTGCGCACGTAGCATATATATATGTATATATATATGTATATGTATATGTATATATATATGTATATATATATGTATATGTATATGTATATATATATGTATATATATATGTATATGTATATGTATATATATATGTATATATATATGTATATGTACACACATGGACCGGGTGAGTGGGCGTCGTAGACGACCTCTGGTGCAACGGCCTCTGTGCTGATGCCGGCTGAAGGTCCTCCTGATCAACCGGATGGATGCACATCTCCGTCCGTCGGTGGGTGGGGTGGAGTGAATCCTGCAGGCTGATTCGGTTCAGCGTCCCGATGAGCTCAGCTCCAGCTGGAGATGCTGACCGATCCACCGACGGAATCCATGCCGGATTTCCACGCATGCGCATGCGGGGCGTACACATCTGTCTCCCCACCCCAGCGCGCGGGCGAGGCGCCGTGATCCGGACCCGCCCGCCGGGGTCAGCCCTCGAGGGGAGATTGTCGGATGGGGTCGCCCCCGTTCCATCATCTCCTCCCTCCCCCCCACAACATCAAAGGCCATTCGATCTCAGCTCGGTCGACGGGAAGGAGCGCTGTGGCCCAGGCGGCAGTGGGGCCCAGTTTCGATCAGACACATACAAATCGGTTCCCCCGACACAGATTTTCGGTACGGCGAGCGCAGTTTGACAGGATCCATGGAGAAACGGCTCCGGAGGGTAGTTGTAGGCGGGAAGACACGGCGTCTCCAGTCGGGACGTGTCGGTGCCTCATGCCTGCAACGTGAGCCGCGTCGCGGCGGTTGGGTCTGCCGGTATCGGTGGGCACCCGGGAAGCTTCCTCCGCAGTCACGGCTGGTCGCGAGGCGACGGGCATCCCGGCCCCTCGAGACCGCCAACCGCGCCGCCTCGTCGCGACCCGCGACCCTTTTCCATGCCCGGACGAGCTCCTCCGGTGTGGTCTAGGGCGCCATCGGCACCGCCGGTGGCCCCTTCGACCGCCGGTCAGCTTGAGCGTTCGCGGCGCATCTGCCCCCACCCTCCTCCACCGGCGGGACGGGGCGTGCGTCGCGGGCGTTCGAAACCCCGGAGTCCCTCGCGGCTCCGGTTCCGGTTGGGGTCTGTCGACTGTTGGCCGCTGGCTAACGTTCATATCAGATTCCCGGGGGAAAGGCCGGCCCGGAATCCGCTGCTCGCCAGCGTGTCCGGGGCGGTGATCCTCCATCGGAGGGACCGATGCGGCAGCCCGTGTTCGCCCTCGCGGGCCGGCACACGATCCTGCCGCGGACCGTCCTCTGAAAATCTCAGTGGGGGCAATCGAATGCCGTTCGGGCAGCCTGCGCGGTACGCCGCTGGGTTGCGCGCGGCGGGTTCCTTCGCGGGAACCCCTTCCGTCTAGCTACTCCTGCCCCCTCCGGGGGTTTAGACCCGG